ACTCTCTCAAGCTGTGCTTTGCCTTCTGAACGCACCAAGAAAGCGACTGCACGGGAAAATGAGTTTTTGCCAGGACAAGGGGAGTCCATGYACAGCCACCCACAGCCTTTTGTTATGGGGAATCTCTTCACCCTGCAAAACCCTTCAGAAGCTGCATGGAGCTGTCCTCTCTGCTGGACCAGTGAAGGCAGGGCTGGGCTGCTCCACCATTCCAACAGCCACAGCCCTTTCCCTGCACCCAATTGAGCAGTGGCAGAGCCATTGGGATGGCAGGAGCTGTGGGGTGCTTATTGCCTGTCCARTGCCTTGATGGATCAAAACACTCCTCCCAGCCCAGAGAAGAACAAAGGATCTGGATGCAGCTCTAACCAAATGCACACAAGTTCCCTTTCAGAGAATCACACAATGGTCTGGGTTGGAAGGGACCTTAAGAWGCATTTCCAGCCCCACTGCCTCAGACTTCTCTGGAAACTTCCTAAATGCTCCTCCTTTAGGGGGTGCAAACATGTCCTGAGAAACCTAATGGCAGAAGTTAGTTTTAAATAACACACACAAGATCTTCTGGAACAAAACATTTTCAAGACTTCTCTGCAGTTAAGCCAATTTCTAAAGGCAACCTGCCCCATATTTAAGAACCAAAGGCAGGATCCCCACATTAGGTGTCTAGTGCTAAGTTTCATCACCCTGCACTTGAAAATATGGTCCTTAATATCTGAATCTCAGGCACCTGGAAATAAACATTCGCCTTTAGAGTGARCAAAAAAGGAAATAATCCCTGTATATTATTTTTATTTTCTTTCCTTTCTATGGTTTTAAGCTGCTTTTATGCGGCACTGGAAAGTTACAGCCCCGTGATTTGTGGCATTCTGGTCTGGTAATAGAAACATCCCCCTGACTGCTGCTCGCTCTGCAGAGCAGGAGGATCGTAACGCACATTGTAAATGGTTGCATTACGGAGAAAGATAATGTTTCTTTCCACTTTCATTTCCCTGGGTTGGTATTTATCGTGGTAGGGGTTGCGTAAGCGCAGGAGACAGAGATCATGCATTATTTACCAGGCTGGAGCTGGGGAAAGGCTCCAGCCTCTCGCAGCGTGCCCATTCCCACCCTAAGATTGGTGTGCTGCTTGGTGGCAGCTTGGCTGAAGGGTTCTTGGAGCAAACAGGATGGTCCTGCCAGCCCAGAGAGCAGCAGGGGACGGGGCTGAGGGTGGCAGGATCAGCTCGGGACAGTTTGTGTCATTATTTATCTCACACCAGAACTGCCACCAAGTCACCACAACCATCAACAAATTCCTTAAGGCCTGCTGGGGTCCAGCACATCAGGACAGAATTTGTTGCTCTTGAATGKAGCTGAGGGCAGACAAACAGAAATGAGGGTGACACAGAGGCCTTTCCAGCCCCAGGGCTGTCCTCAGAGATGCTGACCCAGTTTCTAAACAGGACAGAAAGTTGCAACACTTTAAGGTTTATTATCATTAAACAGTGTCAGAGGCTCTGTGTTTGTCCTCACAGTGCTACTGCCAGTGCACATAAAAGCTAACAAAATAAGCCACTAAGTGCTGGCAGCCTTGGTAAAAAAAAATTAAAATAAAATAAAATAAAAAAAAAAAAACAACAAGAAACAAACCCAACCAATCTACTAAGTAAGAAATAAGTTAATGAGGAAAAATTACAAGGAACTGAAGACTTTGCATGTTCTTCCAAATTAAGGAGAACAAAGGGAAAGGATCAGCTCTTATTTTTGCAATTAAGGTGTTATTTATGGCAATTTAGCTGTTTTAAAATTAAGCCTGGATACAGTGCTGCAGAAAACACATYTGATTTACTCCCAAGGCTTCCCATCAGTTTCTCTGTGTGCTCCAGCCAGCCAGCCAGCCAAAATACAGGAGTTCTGAACTCGCTGTGTGCACTCCAGGCGCCTGTAAAACACCCTGAGGATTTATCCCCACCCTGGGGGCAGCTGGACTGTGACCACTGGAAACAACCTCAGCCCACGGTGCTGGCACTGGAGCTGAGCTACTGCACCTTCGGGCCACGAATCTTCCAGGAACCAGAGAGAACATTTTGTAGGAGCAAAAAGGGGAAAAAAAAAATAGATTCTGCTACTGTGCCTACGTGCAACCTGCATGTGAAGAGGGGTGGAAAGGGGACACTCAGAGGGGCCCCTGTGTTTGCAGGGAAGGGACGCAGCCCCACGGGGACGTTTGGAGGCACTGACCTGGCAGAGCAAACAGCCCCTCTGCCCTGTCCCAGCAGGGAGGGAACCATCCCATCACAGGACTGTCCCACCCCCTCCAGGGACACATCCACACCCACGGGCTCGAGGGAGGGAGGCAGGGAGGAGGAGGAGGAAGATGCCAAGGAGCCCCTGGCAGAGCCCTTTCTTCTGCGCCACACTTCTGTGCAGGGAGAAAACACACCAAAGACCGTGCCATCCCTATGCATCTTTTGTGGTATTTCCCCCCTATGACAGAGTTGGTAAGGTTTGCAGAGAACCTGTATGTTAAACATTAAAATCGTGCACACTATTTGTAGGATTCAGCCCCAGATGCCTTCTTGGTTTTTTTTACAGAAACCTATATGTTAAACATTAAAATTGTGCACACTATTTGCATCAGCCCCAGATGCCTTCTTGTTTGTTTTGTTTTGTTTTTTTTACAGATTAATAAAAACAATAAAGAAAAAAATAAATAAAAAGGATGTAAAGCTTAGTTAAACTCAAAAACAGTTCAGAGAGGAGAGGACTGAAGATGCTGGGAAGACATTCAGCCTTGCCGTGCTGCTGCTCACAGACTCCCCTCTTTCAAGRAGACATGAAAGGAGATATTGCAGCATGATAGTGGCAAAATCTGTTGATTTTTTCCAACCCCCATGGCTGCCGGCCTCGGCATCCCGTTCTTTGAAGCCACAGAGTAAACAGGTGTAACTGCTGTGGCTCTGTGGGCAGAAGTGTTCCCAGGAGCACAGGGTGCAGCAAGAAAAGCCCCTCCTGCCATCCTGGAGAGTCAGAGCACTTGGGCTGGAAAAGGGGCAAAAGAGAGAGAAACAAAAATCAAGAAAACCTTCCACAGAGGAAGATCTGCTTGTGAATGAAAGGGTCCCCAGGGTTTGTAAGTAACCACACAGGTAATGGCTTTTCAAAGGATGGCTGCAGGAGGATGTGAACAGGGATGTGACAGAGATGTGTCAGCTTCTCACCAGCCCAGCAGAGCTGCTGGAGGCACRAGGGGTTTAACTGGAGCACCTGGAGCTCGGCAGGAGATGAGGAACAGCTCAGGGCCTCAGAGGGATTGCAGGGATTTGATTTTATTCAAATCTAACTGACCAGAAGATTTCTCTTCTCTTCATTCACACTCTCCCAGCAGAAACATTTATTATGCTAAGTGAAATGTTTTAACCACTGGCACTGTTGGCTGCAACAGTTCTTCATAAGCAGCTTTAGCRTTTGCTGGGATCAGCACCCTGGGGCTGGAGATGGTGTTTCACCCTTTCCTCTGCTTTTAGTCTTCTCTTCCTCRCTCCTCTCGCCTCCAGCTCTGTCCCCTGCCCCTTTTTCAAGTTGCAATGCGTTAAAATAAAAGTATTAACGGCGCTTATCTGATGCATGGGAGATTGTGAGAACAAGCTGGCAAGCAGCCAGGAGCTAATAGCAGCATAAAGCAATTTGCTGAAAAAAAAAGAATTAACATGCTAATTGTCAGGCTGGAGAGGGTGCTGGGGATCACAGAGAAGGGGGAGTGGGGGGAGAAGAAGACATTGATTACTCCAGATTTAAACAATAAAGGACTKAGGAAGAAAGAAAGGRTTTGAARCKCTTTTCTTCTTTTTTGTCCCATTCGCTGCTACCCTCCCCCAGCTCAAAACCTCCAGCCAGAGCCTCAGGCACTCACGGGAATTTATCCGAAGATCTCTTCCTTTTTAGCATCGTGTCACTGGCAGCTGCACCACGGGCTGCGGAGCTGGTCGGCAGCACCACGCAGTTGTGCCCTTCCCACGGAGCGAGTGGCGCTGCCGGGAGCGGCTGTCGGGGGGACAG